CGTTCCACCTTGTACAAGTTGACTGTATGAATAGAATTAATCCAGTTGGAACACTGAGTCAGTACAGTGATGTACAGAAAACACACAAAAAATGGTTACTTGAAAACTGTGGCAGAGTCACTCTTTCATTTATACAATGCCAAGAGCAGTGGTACCTCAAACTACAAGTAAAGCTCAAAACACACTGTAGACAGTCGTGGGGCTGAGCATGGCACTGTGTTTCATGTAGATTATCGCAATTATGCTTAAAATTACAAATTTTAAAGCTGTGTAATTTGGAATATGTGGTCAAGAATGCTCCAAAAGTTACAGAGCATTTCAGACAAGATGCATGATAGATGTATTAGCCAGATTTTGTTAGACAAAGATAATTGCAAATCTGAACCCCAGTACCTGAGATTCAAATTCTGGAACTGCCACAAAGCATAAATCAGGTTCCTAGCTGCAAGCTTCTTTCTCTGTCCAATGGAGCTATTGAACCTCAAGCTATTGACAGCACCTGTGTCTCTGCTCTGCGCCTCATGGCCGAGACTAAATGTTAAAAAGTCACACAGTCATTATAAGCTTTTTAATAATAAATTTTTACCCCATCCCATTAAATCATAACATTTTAAGTCTAAAAAAAATCACACAATAATATCTTAAGTACTAAGAGCAAAATGTGTATTCCATACATCCACTCTGTATGTTTCTATATCAGAAAAATAAACCAACCAAGTCATAGATTCTGGATAGTATGTTTCCATCAATTTGGGTACTACAGACCTGATGAAATCTACATGGGATGATAGGAATTGCAAGAGGATTCTGACCATTATGAAGGGGATAGTGTCTCACAGGCCCAATTTTCTGACAGCTGACATCACACACCTACTCAACTATTCCACCCACTGACCCAATTGACCCCATACCCTAACAGTTGCAAGGGCCCATCCACAAATATCTGAGTACAGGGGAGATTTGGGTAAAAAGTTCTATTTTTTCAGTTAATAGCTTTTCCTACTTAGGCCTTGCTAAACCATCTTAATTTAGTACACAGCAGAACATTTGCTTCAGGGTAATTCTTCTCTCTACCTAAAATATTTATAATATTTTGGTTTGGTCTTGGGTGATTAATTTTGATCAATGCAAAGAGTTTATACTCTCTAGTGAGAAAATTCATACACTGTGGGAAATATGTCTTGCCAAGTCACATTCCCCTGAGTGCTTTAAAATATAATTTACTTTAGACACACTAGATAGATATTATATCTATACTTTTGAAGAATATTGAAATAGATTTCAAATCAATTAGAATTCTCTGTTTGTATTAGTTTTATGAGCTAGATAATATGCACACAAATTTGAATATATACACATGAATAACTTGACTGCTGATGTTTTTATTTGTTTTTCTGAAAGCCCAACTGTCTCAGAGAATAGAGTGAAAATACATTAATTTTCTTGTAAATGAATTCATTGTGCTTCAGTGGAAATAATAAAACTCATAAGGAATGCCAAAAGTTTTCTCTTGTGTGGTAGGTAGATGGCAAGGAAGGAGACTGGATGTCTTTGACCTGAAAACACCACTTGTCTTAAATGTCACTGCTCAGCTAATTGAAGATTATGGGACTATCTCATGTTGGCACTAAAGTCTTTAAATGGGAATTTCCACATATATAATCTAACCTTCCCCATGGCCTGGAGAAAAGCAACTGGAAGGAAGTTGGTTGATTACTAGAGTATCATGAATGCTTGTATGACCAGTACTCTCGACAGCCTGGAGTTTCTTTTGGCTACGTCAGTGCAGTGTTTATGAGATCCTGTATATTAAATGGAGAGTACAGAGCTGAGTCTTAGGAACAGCAGGATTTAACACTGAAAACTAATTTAGATTCTTCCCTTTACTTTCATGCAAGCCACAGAGGAATTAGTTTGAATCAGCAGAAACTTAAATGTCTGCAAGAAGTAATTCTAGCTCTCTGAAGAGAAAATGTAGCATTCATAAAATAAAATTCACAATATTTGTCAGACAAAATGAATTACTGGAAAAGAGAGGAAATGGATAAGTGAGATTTACAACCAGTAAGAAAATTCAGCCAATAGAAACAGAGCTGGAAATGACAAAGGACAAAGCAATCAAGTCATTGTTTTGTATAAAAATAAGTGAAGGGTTTGAGAATGGGAAAAAACACATGATAATACCAATTATATATATAAAAATGTAAAATAAAACTGTTAACAAACTGTCACAGTTTAGTTAATGTAGATTAAAAGGCCTATAAACGTGTAGATACAACTATAGAAAACATGCAAAATGAAGAACCAGGGAAATAGAAACTATTTGACAAAATAAGGTATCAGCGGCAAATGGGACAAATAACAATTAACTTAAACCCCTGAAAAAGGTAGTCAGAAGGGTGAAGAACAGAAAGATTGAATTAAAAAACAGTACATTACACCACAAAAAAATAAAAAAAAATCTGTCTCAAAAGGTAATTATTAAAATATCCTATGAGAAAAAAAATGTGTGCCAAAAATGTGACTTGTCTCCTTCCTTGTCTGTTCATGAATACTTCCTATATAATTTGCATTTTTCAAATGTAAGGAAAACCACAAGTATTTTTTATTCAAACTGGTCTTCTTTTAAACATACGTGTAATACTGATGATGAGACTGGAGAGTAGGTGATGAGTTGGAAGATGAAGAGAAATAAGCAGCATTGGCCTTTGTTGTGCATAGCTCACGTCTCATTTCACCTTCAAGATGAACAGGTGTGCTAGTTATGATGATTATCAACGTAAACTGCAAAGATTATGGTGAGAGAGATAATGAAATGTGTTGGAGGACAGAGGCAGAATTTGGGAACTAGAGATGAAAACCACATCATCCTGAATTCAAACATGGCCCTGCATACTGCTTCCAGATACTAAAACGTGTGCAAATGAATCCACTTCGAGGTATTTTTGTCCATAGCATCCATGTTTGAGAAGTGCTGTTTGGCTTTATATTCTTTCCTTGGGATTTCCTTGGAATTCAAACTTTTCAAAATATGTTCTGTGATTGGGGACACATCTCTGTTCAGAAGGCAGGCTAAAATTTAGTTATCCATATTCTGTCAGTGGATTTTAGAATCTTTTGCAGAGTCAACAAAGTAATGTGTGTTCTGTAAAGGGGAGCAGGAGATTAAATAATATTTTCTTCTATAGCTTTACCAGAATAATTCAAGAAAGTAGTTTCATATATGAAGAAATGATATGTTGAAACATCACTGCATAATCTCCTAAGCATAAATACTGATGTTCAAAGGAATAACAATATTTTAATCTCTGTAAATATGAAATATTTAAATTATTATAACATGATTGTTAATTAGCATCACAATAAAGAGTTAATGGTTCTTTGTTAAATTATGAAATGTATAGCTAGAATATTTAAGCATAGCACATTATTTTCCCAAATTCATCTTTTTACCTGATATGTTGAAGACAATGCAAATTTATAACTCAAGTTATGGAACATTCAGAGTCTCATCAGAAATAGAGAAATGCTATGACAAATTGAACTTCTTAATTTTGTTATGAAAAAAGTCCAAGCTTTCCCACTATGTTAAATCAGCAAGAGAAATAAAAAAAATATGTTTTGAATTTGTTAGTATAAATTTGTATCTATGTTTCTATTTTCTGTTAGTTTTTAATTCTGAAAAAAGTAACATGCATACATGCATATGTGTAATTTGGCTTCATGTGCGTCTGTGCACCACATTGCTACCTGGTGCCCATAGAGCCCAGAAGAGGACATCTAAACCCCTGGAACTGGAGTTATGGATTGTTGTGAGGCATCATATGGGTGCTAGTTATCAAACTCAGGTCTTCTATAAGAGCAGCCAGAATCATCTCTCCAGCCTCTGTTAACATATTTTTAATGGTATATAAAATCTGTATCACTTTATTAGATAAAGTCTGAGGTTTTGATATGTGCAGACAAATTATAATGATCAAGTCAAAACAATTACTATATATATATATATATATATATATCACTTCAAGAATTTATTATTGCTCTGTGATGAACATTTAAAATATACATATTGATAAAGAACATTATAAGTCCATATGTATATTTGCATATATGTATATGAAATCGGATAAAATGAAAGAAGTTAGTCTGAATTTTAAGACTATGTCAGCCCTTTTCAGGAAGGAGACCTTTATATGTCTTCCTTCTCCGACCTGGAAGATGGTCATCACATATATTTAGCTTAGTCATCTGATCTTTGGGCACTATTTTATATATACATTCTTTTGTATTTCCAATATCTAATACAATGTATAAATCAAAGAACCATTTAATAAATAAACAAAATCTGTAAAATAAAGAGGAAAAGGAGAATGAAAGGAAGGAATCAGGATGAGAAAAGTGTGAAAAAAAGTGTTGTAGCATTGATATGATTTCCGCCTCACATCTCCAGGATAAGCAACCACTACTAGGATAACTGTAGGCATTAACTATTGCATTTGGTTTTGATATTAAATCAGTCTTCTACTATACTCTCTTACTAATTTGCAATGATTCAATGAACATGGATTACAAATAACAATGGCATTGTGGATGATGGATGGATGGATGGATGGATGGATGGATGGATGGATGGAGGGAATAACAGATAGATAGGCAGATAGATATGGATGGATAGTTAGATAGGTAGGTAGACAGACAAACAGACAGACAGACAACATAGATGTGAGCGATCAGTAACCTTATTTCTCCATTTTGAGTCACAAGTATGTTTTTGCAATTATCTTGCTAAAATATAGATTAACCCTTCTTTCTTTTAAGCATAGTGTGTATTAAGGACTTGCATTTTCTTATTCTACTATGCAAAACAGACATAACACTAGAGAGCAAAGTCCTTTGTCAGGAACTAAATCCTGAGTACTTTTACTCACTATAGTGTTTTTTATGATCATTCGTTAATTCCTTGTGTGTAATTATGTATCATATATACTTTTTTCTTTCAGGGTTTAAGCTTGAAACGACTGGAGGCAGTACAAGGCGGGAGAGAGGTAAGAAAGCACAAAGGGAGGAGGAGAGGGAAGAGGAGAACATGGTAATGATGGCACAGCGATGGTGACTAAGGACATTTGTATTGTGAATACATGCATGTATATTTGTGAATATATATGTACACTCTATATATTTATATATGTATGTATGTATATTGCTCATATGTTCCCATACATTCCTGGGAAAGCAGAATTTGCACATTTAAGTAAATATATTATTTGTGCTTACTCCTCTGGAGTGGAAGAAAATGCAATCCATCTGGGTAAGGAATGTTTCTATTAAGGGTTTCTGCAGTAGGCCCTCAGAGGGTTCAGAAAAGTCTTTTAGAAAAAAAACTTGGAACGTAGTATTTAAAATGTTTACTAGGAATTCACGGAACTCATGTCAGGCCAGGATGTGTTCTTAGATGGTGTGCAGTTGCTCTGGTCACACTAGAGTTTTTAGGTGTTCCTTAGTAGATGCTGGTTTCTTCAAATATTTTATCAAGCAGGGATACTCACAATAGTAGCAATATGACATCATATTAGGAATGCTTCATTTGTAGAAACTTTTTATTATTTTCTGTGACATTTATTAATCAAATTATTGGGGAAAGTGGAGGTGTTTTTCTCCTACAAAACAAGAAAATAATTCTTCCTCTTCCTATCACCTGTGGCTTCTTACTCTACAAATGGACTTCTTCCCAGTGAGTGGCATTTGCTCCTTACCTCACTATTCTAACTTACACTTGGGTATTTTCAGTATCTGACATTTCAGTTATCTTTATACTTGTTATTTAGAGTCTCTTTCTCTTTGTCTTCTGCTTTCCATCCAGAGGAATATTTTTTTTTCTCTTGGTGGCTCACATCAGAAAAATAGCTGATGAGGAAGAAATATAGATAAATTCTTTAGGTGTTTTTCATGATATAATAGATCAAGATTCCAGACACATAACTGATGCACATACAAACTGAGAAAAGAGAGAGGCAGCATACACCAATCTGCACAGACTCCTGCAAGGCAAAAATTTTAGTGCAAATAACGGGAAGTGTACACAAAACCCCAGCTGCCGGAAATACAAGTTATTTGTAGTTGATAACTGTAAAGAAAAGAAAAACAGCTTTGTCCATCAAGTGTCACTGGGTGTATGAACCATACTCCTACGAAAGCATTATCCCCAGGAGTAGTTGGCCAATACAAAGAATTCATGTATTTTGTAGGGTCTTTTTGTTTCAGTGGCATTTTTTTCACACTTCTTTTGGTGTTCACTTTGATTTTCATATTTTTCTTTTGAGAGAGAGAGACAGAGAGACAGAGACAGAAAACATGAACTTGGGTGGATAAAGAAGTGGAGAAGACCTGGGAGAATTTGAGCAGGGGGAAACAGTGATCTAAATATATTTATGAAAAAACAAATAAATAAAATATTGATACATAATAATGACCTCTCATTTCTTTTTATTAATTTTCTGTTCTAAAGGAGAAAAACAAAGGAACTTTACTGTTCATCAAACCATAATCAAATTCATCCTATAAATCAGGTAAATCTTACTAACAATCCAGTAGTGCTGAACCATTAAAAAAATTCTGTTTAATAGAAGGAAGCATAGGGACTAGAGAGGCAGCTCAGCAGTTAAGAGCACTTACAGCTCTCCCGGAAGAACCAGGTTCAGTCCCCATCATCCACATGGCAGCTCACAATCATCTTTATCTCAGGAGATCAGCCTCCTCGTTTTGTTCTCCACAGGCACTTCATGCACAGACGTACATACAGATTAAACACCCATACATATAAAACAGGTACATCAAAAAAAGAAGGATAAAGGCTTTTATAGCTTAAGTAACAATGTACTATTAATCAATACATGGACTTAAAATAAAACTTAAAAATCAGTGATATTATCAAAGACTCTCTTAATCTATGAAACTGTTGAAAAAGCAAGAATCAGATACTTGACACTGAACACAAGTGAGCTGTTAAGACGTCTTTGCAGCTATCAGTACTTGGCTTTTCTCCCAGGATGACTGAGTGGGTGTATGGCTGCTAAGGAAGACCTACAAGACTCATAGGTGCAGCAATTGCTTTTCCTCAGAAGTACTAAAATATGATGAGTCTCAGAGCACATCAGTTACTTCCTAGGTCGCAGTTCACACTAAGCAGCATTGCAGCAGCTCCGCAACCCCTCTTGGATGCCACCAGGGACAAACAGAGTGGAGAAGAAAACATTAAACTCCTGTATCCATAGGGTACTATTACTGAGCCATGGAAAACATGGTCCATTTCATCCAGAAACATTACCTTTTAAAATTAATACTACTTTTAAAACATAGTATTTGGTCCTCACCAAAAATAATTCTCATTAAATTTTGTTTCTAATTTTCTCACTGCCTCCAATCTTGTTTTTATTATAAATACAATTTTATATAGGAAACATGTCAGTGGTATGCTTTAACTGAAAATATATGTTCTCAAAAGTATTTCATGGCTTATGGGAAAAATCTAATAATATGTATATACTATATATGCTATATACATATTATGTTTATGCATATATTTGTGAGAGAGAGGCCTTAAACTGGGGTCTCTAATAGGAAGATTTGATCATCAAATCAATGCTAGCTCAGTAATGACTTCTCCATTTGACCCTTTATTTGCTCTGCACATAGAAACCAAATATTGGCAATTAAAATTCAAAACAACACCTTTATTTCCTGTTAGAGTTTCACTGGGTAATTTGAAGTCCTTCAACTTAATCTAATCACTCATGTTAGCTTTACCCATGACATTAAAAGCTGATCTGTCTTTTGGTAGCTAACTTCCAGGAAACTGAAGATAATTAGGTAAAGTGTGTAGTGGAAGCTATTTTGTCAGGTCTCAGAGGTTGCTCATCTGCAAACAAAGATGCAATTACAGTTTCTCTAAATTAGGAGAGGTTACACAAGTCTCCCCGATTCATGCTGACTGTTCTACTATGTATACACATTACCAAGAAGTGCACTGTGTCTCTGAACAGTTAAATTTTAATATGTGTATTTTCAAAGCCATCCAAACAGTCTCTCAGAATTTCTCACTGTGAGCCCATCATGACTGATTAAGATTTAACTGCAATGATGCTGCTTAAGATGAATGACTTTGTCTTAGTTCAAATGACAGACACTCCCAATAGGCATTGATGGATGTAATACTAAAGACCTGTTGCCAAATATTTATAAGAAGGTTTAAGAAATGTCACTGAAAATGTTCTATTTACTTCTTGAGGTAATGGCAACAGCTTGAGCATGCACAGGAAATTGAAGCGAGCAGTAATGTACTATTTAGGTAACTGGCAAATCCTGTTGCAAAGCTGACAGCCAGGCAGAAATGCTAGGTTTTGATACCACTGTCCATGCAAAAACCATTTCTCACTTCACAGGGAATAAGAGACACTTCCTTCTGGAGCCAAAAATGAGTGACCATGGCCCAGAAACACAGATTTAGGTTACCCCAAATTCTGTGTGCCAGCATGGTTTTTATTTTCAGGACGTTTTTATAGTGAAAGAATGAAGAAAGTAATAAAGAATCATACATCTATTTTATCTTGCTACTGGGTGATCTGAATTTAAAAAAAGAAAGAAAAGGAAAGAAAAAAACAAAACAACAACAAAAACTAGCCCATGGTTGACATAGTGATCACCAAGAAGAGGTTAAGCACATGGTATACTGATGAGGTTAGTGGCAGAACTAGTCAAAATGTTCATTTTCTAGACTGAGGACACAGACTAGAGAAATGTCAACATGATTGGAGGAGAGAATACAAAGAGGGAGTGAACATACAGCAAATATGAATTTGGAGAAAGGTATAAAAGGAGTTGAAGGACCTGTTTTCCAACAAAGAGAAGGAAGAGTATCAGAGTTCTCTAGAGGAGTAAAGCAGTGTGTTTGTGTCCAAAGGAATTAAATATATTACTCACAAAGCCAAGAATTAAACCAGACACAGGGATTTTTCATCCCATATGAACACACAAAGAAAATCAAAAGGTTATTGTCCTACTAAGTTATAGATAAATACCAAAATAATAATTAAAACATTCTGCACTTTTGAGGTGGCAAGTAGCTTCTATGTGTAATGAAGAAGTGAATCACTGTATTCGTCATTGTTTACTTCTGAAAAAATCCTTATCTGATGAAGGTTCATCTAAGTAGCTAACTAGAGCTACTTTGCAAGACTCTAGACAGAACTTTGGACACACTGTAAATATCTTACCAATTTACCCACTTACCAACCTAAACAAAGTTTAAGCATTTTTGATTGCTTTGGGTCTATTAAACTTAGTTTTTTTTTTTCCTTGATCAATGATTTAGATTTTTTTTTTTTACATTTGTGGCATTTTTCTGAGGTGAATGGTCAGCTATTATGGTGTTTGGGTAGGGTGCACTTCGAATTCTTTGCAACCTGCCTCAAGACCTTCTATTTGAAGTAAGTCTCTCAGAGGTCTTTCAAGTCTCCCAGGCAGTAAGATAAATTCACTGCAGCCTAAACTGTCATTGGTTTACAATCGCAAAATGCTGCTTCTATGATTGAAGATGCTTTTCTATAATGCTTTGTTTAATCAATAAGGAAACTTACCTTCCATTGACTCCCTACTCTGTCACTTGTAACCTCACTGCTGACCTGTCCTCTTACTCTTCTTATGAGTCCACTCTAATGGCTGAGACTCAAAAGCTGTTGCCAGACTGACATCCTTTAGACAACTGGGCCTTGATAGCCTTCAAAAACCTCCTAAGGGCTTCCCTCAGTCTTGTCTTTCTTCCACAGAGTTCCATTTTGTTTGAGGGCAGATTATCTGTTGGGTCTCCTGATTGTTCTTTGCAAAGTGGTTATGCTACTTTTCTTGTTTATTTGACTTTCTAGGTCAAAATTCTCATTTTGTTGTAGGTTGACTCATATGTATAACTGGAAATGGAATAATTCCACCAAGTGCAATGTGACATTGTTGTGCAATGTTAGGGAACATATTTATCTAAACACAACTTAAAATT